CCATAGATCCTCCAAGAAAGGGAGAGAGAAGCTCTCTAAGACTAATAGCAGTCACTCCTTGCAGACCAAATATGCCCCAAGTGTCTTCTCTGCAGCAGGTCCTCCATGGGTATCCCCGCCACCCCAAATTAAAATCAGCATCTGAGATCAAAGAGATTTGCTGTGCTGCAATCAGAGGCTCGAGTGAGATTTACATAGTGCAGGTGGGGAGAGACTGCTGGACTCTGGGGAACTGCTCCACTCCCCAGTCCCGACACCACGTGCCTCCACGCTCCCCAAGGCGAGGTGAGGTAGGGGCTTGGTCATTTAGAAATCACACAAAGCCAGTTATCTTCTCACTCTCAAAACTGGGAAATATTCCCGTTCCATAGAAACAGGGGTTAGCTGCATTTATGTCCATCCATCCATAACCTGCCATGACAAGGGAAAGGTGACCAGAAAAGACATCTGCACCCCACACACACTTCCCTTAATTAGATAACTTTACAAAAATGTAAATGATCACACCTTTAAAAAAACATATGCATAGACTAAAATTATAAATGAAACTCTTTTATTAGCTTAGGTGAATACAGGAATACCACAGATAAGCTTCTGAATAGTAACCAAGAGCAAATACTGCCTGGGAATACCAGCCATGCTTCTGAATGACAGCCTGCACCAAAGGAGGTGGGACCAAAGCAGCATACTCAAAGATCGCTACACGTTAGAAGGAACATTGATAATCATCAGTGAACCTGCTTTACCACCAGCAAATTATCAGAATTTGCAGCAATGATAGGTCTTGCTGAATACCTGTTATAGTTTATTAGCTATTCTGGATAGTTAATCAGCAGCCACTATATCAGTTTAAAAAGATTAAAAATGACTTTGCAGAGTTTGAGTCCTCAGTTTATTAATAGCTTGGTTGATGAAAAACAACAGACAGATTATTGGATTTACTATAAACTCAACTAACCCTTCAGAGTAGTAGCAAGACTGAAGCATTATCTTCAGTTTTATGATGCAGACAACATAGAGAAGGAAAGGTTCTAATGACAAACACCTGTAGGCAAACTCCATGAGCCACACAAAAAGACTCTCTGAAGAAACTGCATAACATTTCCTTCCCACTGAGTTTCCAGATACCAGAATGAAACCCTGCCTTGCAAAACCTCCAAAATGGATTAATTATTTAACTAACAGTATCAACCTGAATGCCTAGGCTTAGCTATGGCTTCCCTTTTTACTGGGAAGATCCTGATTGTAAACAACAAGGACTGTGATGAGCTGGACACAGAGCGTGAACTTAGTCGAAGGTTGGAAAACAAAGTGATGCTGCTTTATTTTGGGTCTGGTGAATGTCCTCGATGCCAGGAATTCTCTCCGGTCCTCAAAGATTTCTTTGTGAGACTCACTGATGAGTTCTATGTGGAAAGAGCTTCCCAGCTGGTCCTGGTGTATGTGTCTCAGGATGAGACAGAGGAAAAGCAAGAAAAGTTCCTGAAGACCATGCCAAAAAGATGGCTGTCCCTGCCTTTCCAGGATGAGTTTAAAAAGTAAGAGCTTGATATAGCAATAAGATAGTAATAGTACCCTTCTGATTTTTTTTTTCCAGATGCTGTTATTTCTTCCAAACTTTTAAATATTTCTATTATTATCCAAAGCCTCACATTACAGCATCTGTGTGCCCTAAAGACTGGTACAAGGCAAGTTATTCCTGTATGCATTATCAAATTACTCCAGGGTGTTAACTGTATTAAGTGAACGCAGACATTCCCTGTCTTGGATCCTATAATGTAACCAAGCATAGTTAACACTGCAGTTACGTAGATGACAGCAGTACTTTGTGCTTCTCTTTCAGAAGGTAGGTCTTCATTTTTTGCTAGTTAAAGATGGAGAAACTGAGGTCTAGAAAAGGAAATGACTTGACCAAGGCCTTGCAGGGATAGAGTCAGAAAAAAATCAGAATTTTGAGTTCTGACTCCCAGTCTTAATATTAGTCCACCACACCCACCTTTTCCTCCCAAAGCTGAGGCTTTGATCTCATCATAATTTATTTTAAACATGTACTTGGTGGATATGTATCAACTGGCTTCATGAAAGAAGTTAGTTCTAAGGATTGTTTGAACAAAACAAGACCAGCTGCTACAGAGCAGCAGGGACAGTCATAAGGGAAAGACTAGAAAACACCAAAGTGCAGGAAAAGCAAAGGCAACAGGAAAAGGTCTGAACAGATCACCACCAGTGCTGTCTACAACACAGACCATTCTGGGTGAAAGGCAGCGTGTCCAGATATCTGAGCGGAAGACCTGGGTTCTCTTCTCATCTTCCATTGGCATGCCGGTTGAGAATTGCCGTTACAGACTCCTGTTTATTTCTTGTTCTTAAAGAGATTGTCCCTGTAGGCTATAAGAAAGACATGAGAAAAACATTATGGAAGCACTTGGCAACAGTCCTCCAAATTCTCACATCACACCAAAGGGAAAAAGGCTGCAAGTTATTGTGACTTCATTAATATAAAATAAGCAATAATTAAATGACGTGACTGTTCCTTTGGACTAAGTACAGACAGTCAAAAAGCCCAAGGCTGAATTGATTCAGTCTTTGCAGATTACTCTAAGCTGCAAAGATTGAACCAATAAACAATTGAACAGACATTTATTTGTGATTCAGGAAATGCAGCCACATGCTTAGTGGCTCAAGCCAGAAGCCAGGGGGTGCTACAGCATGGCTCTCTGGCAGGTAGCCAGCATGGGCTGTGTGTTCACTTCCTCTTCCTGCTGCCCCCAAGGCCTCTTGGATTTGCAGTTCCCAGTCACAGCAGCAGGACTCTGCAGAATTGCTCATCACTTCCTCTTCCTGCTTTCAGGATTTGTAGTCCACAGTTGCAGCCAGCAGTAAGTAATCCAGCAGGGCAGGGCAACTCTGTAGTCAGGAAACAGTGAGTTTAATCCCCCTCCCTGGCCCCAGACCCCAGCAAGGGTTTCCTGGTGGGGAAGGCAGTGAGCAGAGGGGCGGGGCCAGCCCTGCTCTCTGAAGCAGACAGCCCAGCCCAGCCCAGGGTTGCAAAGCATGCTGAAGGACTCTGATTTAACTTGAACCAGGATCAGGTCTGTGACAGAAGTTTCATAAACCGGTTTGACCTAAATCAGTTAAGTCTGGTACTACATTCAGCCAGCTTTATCTTAACCCAGTTTCAGCTATTCTGAAACTGGTTTATGTGCACTGAATGTCTGTTCTGTTACAGGTTTAAACTAGTTTCTGATCACTTATACTGGTTTATGTGTAACTTCTGTCCCTAGCCTTGATGATTAATCAGAGTATGATACAGCTTCAAAGCTTCTTACCAATATTTATGAGTTCATTCTTCCCTTGGAGGTGAGCTGAAGTATTCCTTCCTCTTCTACAGGCATGGCGGGGAAGTGCTCCGTTAAGGCCAGAGCCTTCTTTGTGAGAATCATTTTCAAAGTCAGGACTAGCAGGCAGGATTCCTAACTTAGCTTCTGTTTTTCAGGCTGTTCCCATGCTGCCTTCCAATGGTAAAGACTGTTTCACTTCAGAGCAAATCCATGTCCTTTTTTTAAGGAATTTTTTTTGTGTGTCGTTCATTCAAGAACCACATGTGGCCCTACTACCAGGACACATCCTCCACCCCTCGCCTGGGGTTTCAGATCTTTTGGCAGGCATCCTATGTGCAAGCCCAAGCCTGGAAGCTTGGGGTTTGGATGCCCCTGATTTTCACTTGCCCTCAGTCGTATGACCACAGGAGCAAGCTAGGGAGAAGTCTCCCATTTCCATAAAGGCAGTGTATAGCCGAGATCTTCCCACTGGAAGTGAAAGTGCTCAGCTAGTGTACTACCTCCTGCCATATTCGTGGTTTTCCCCAGCCAGCTGGAAAACCACCTTAGTAGTCATGGTATTTCCCCTGCCAGGTAAGCAAATGCATGTCCTGCAACTGACCACCACCAACAGGTCTGGAAATCCGGCCTGCAGCCTGCTGTAGGAGAGGCAGCAGTTCTCCCTAAAGACGGCTCTGGTGGGTGGCACGTAGTCTGTAGCACCTTGTCTAAAAAGCTCTGGGCTTTGTGATTTAAACTTTCTGATTTTGGTTTCCAGGGAACTGGAGTCAATGTTTGTTGTGTGTGACACACCTGTAGTGGTGGTACTGAAGCCCAGTGGAGAAGTGATTTCTGGGAATGCTGTGGAGGAAATCGAGCGTCTGGGTCCTGCCTGTTTCAAGAACTGGGAGGAGGCTGGTGACCTGATCAACAGGAATTTTCTCCTGGTGGAGGATTTTGATGACATGTCCCTGAGAAGCATCACTGACCCCATCCACCGCCTCAAGTACAAGCTGGACAAGAAAATGAAGAAAGAAAAGAGGGAAAATGAAGAGGAAGATGCTATGTCCTGATCACTGACGATGCGTAGAGGGTGCACATAGGTGCATGTGCACCCCCTGAGTGTGGCAGTGCACCCCCTGTGAAAAAGTGCTGCCAACACTGCCGGTGGCATCTGCAGGCAGTCCGTGATTGCTGCTGGCCACTGCTGCCACTGCTGGCGGCATCTGCAGGTGGTCACTGACCGCCGGTCGGTGCTTGCCACTCCCTCACCACCCTCCTGCCACTGACAGCACCGTGGCCACCTGCGGGAGCTCCCTGCTTACCACCACCACGCTCCTCCTGCCCACAGCGCCGCCTACCACCGCTACCACCTGTGGGAGCTCACCGTGCCCCCACAGCCTCTGGGGGCACGCAGCATTCATGGTCCTGCTTGGGAGTTAAGATGCTCCAGCTACACATATACCAGCTAGAAGACTGGACTCTAGAGACTCCCCAGCAAATACCAGCTGCCTTCAGCTCTAAGGCAGTCACTTTCAGAGCATGAACTTGTATTTATAGATACTTGTATTACCACAAAAATCTCAGGATTTCTGTGGCAGCTGTAGGGTCTACCTTCTACTATCACTGGTAACATTACACAGCTTAAAGTTTAACTTCTAGGATTCACTCATTTCAGTGCTACTGGACAGATGGCTTCATCACCATTTTTATGCTCATTGACGCACTCCATTATCCTAGATGTTATGCACAGATTATGTAAAACTGTGGCTAACTATAATTCATTATTTGCTAACCTCTATTGCCATCTCCTGGAAGTGACAATTGTGGAGAAACCTACCTATATCCTGGTTACAAACAAGGCTCTGGCTCTTACTTCACAGTAATTTGAGCAAATTTCGATAATGTCTTTTAAGTTTTTTCTGCTAGCTGCAACCTTAAAGCTTAAGTGCATCATCATCATGGTTTAATGGGGGGATTTGAAATAAAGAGCCAGTTCCATTTCCTTTAGTCCCTGATGTAACAAGGCATAATCTGAATGAAGCCTGCTTTGAGGAATCCTTGGTTTCTTTCTTCTTTCTAAACTAATCCCTGGCTGCTGTTATTCGTTAACTGCACTGACTGAATTTAAACGAGTTTTGCATGAGGACACACTGCTAATTCTTGAAAGGCTAAGCTGATGAATAGCCCAGTTCCTGTTATCTCACAAAACTTTGGCATTTGGGTCTGCAGAGAGAAAACATACGACTCCAGTCCAGCACTTCTTGTTTCCCCATAATCCCATTATTCAACACATCTAGAGGTCAAACCACTTACACAGTTGCCTAACAATTTAGATGCCTAAATGTGTGTCGTGACCTGACCAGCGTAAGAGCAGAGAGTCATTCTGCTTGAGACTGTAAAGAGCCTACGTGAATTACTGGAAGAACTAAAAGGAGGTGTCTGTTTTTTGGTGAAAAGGAGAGAGGCACAAGGCAAGACCAGCCTGTTCAACTTGTTTACCCACTTGATTCTCCTTCACTTTACCCTGGGGCTGTCTGGCTGGTAGAAGAAAGAAGGAAAAGAGGAAAATGACTTATTGGGAGGGGCTCAATCATACCCACAGCTGCCACGGTGCTAGTACAACCATAGCCAGCTCAGCTTACAAAAGGAGTGTATCTGCAGACTTACAACACTTCTGACATGCTAGGACACAAGCAGAAAAGTAACGAACTGCAGAATAGCTTGCTTTTTTTTTTTAAGATTAAGCATGTGAAGTGGCCTGTTGCATTTTATTCTTCTTCAGTAGCCTGGACATTAGTCCAGAATGGATCACCTGACATCCTGTGTCTATTGTTGTGATTTTACAATCACATTTTCTGATATTTTAAATGCTTTCTCTTCCCTGTTCCTACTGAAAGATCCACACATACAGCAGGGGGAAAAAGCTGAGCTACACACAAAAGTGCTGTCACACTGATAAGCAGAGATATCATTCATTTGTATTAAATGCTTTCAATGACAAGCATCTGAGGAGTTAGTTATAACAATGGTAGGAATATAGTTCTCACACAGATCTGTAATTTAAGTGAACAGTGCATATCTCACTTGCGAATCTCACAAAACCTCCGGAGCAGAGCCAGCTTAAAATCAACCTGTAGCAATCATGTACAGAATTGAGGACAAGGGCATAAGACTGCAGCTGCTCTGCCTAATGAGTAAACATGCAATTGCATCTTGTGCTCCCTAAAAGCAGCTGAGAAACCCTGCTAGAAATCCCAATGAAAGGGAATTAGAGCCTTGTGGGCATGAGCATGTTGTTGTTCGAGGCCATCTCAGGATAATAAGGGCACAGAACAGCCTATGCAAGTTATGTAACTGGCAAATCTGCTTTCATGTACTGTCCAGCTTATGTTGTGACCTCTTCAGGGAAAAGGTGTAGCTAAACTGGACATCAACATTGTCATTTGGAAACTCACTTGAACTACCCAGTATCCAGAGATAACAAGTGTACAGAATGTGTGTGAACAAAGTCACCAATTGTATGCAGAAATTGGGCCCAGTGCTGCCCTCTTCTACGTTCACTGATAGGCCACAAAGCAGCTTGTGTCCTAACCACACTGGTTACTAAGAGTTCAACATTTTAAACCCCCAGTGAGAAAGTTCAAGTCATCCTACTTAAAAGGACTTTTATTATGGTTGGTAATATACATAATGAGGCATACAATGTGTAATAATTATGGATTTAAGAGGGAACAGTTGCAAGTTAAGTCCTTCACCACAACATAATGCTGAATGGCAATGACTATAGATGGCTCTGAAAATCTGAATTTTTAAAAGACATCCTAGACATCTAGTGGTATGATGATAAAGGAAACAGTGAGGTAGAAAGGAAGTATACAATTACAAAAATAAGCATGCTTAGTTTCATAGTTTCTAGGGTCGGAAGGGACCTGAGCAGATCATCGAGTCCGACCCCCTGCCATGGCAGGAAAGAGTACTGGGGTCAAACGACCCTGGCGAGGTGTTCGTCTAGCCTTGTCTTAAAGACCCCCAGGGTAGGAACCAGCACCACTTTGCTTGGAAGTTGGTTCCAGATCCTAGCCGCCCTGACGGTGAAGTAGCGCCTCCTGATGTCTAGTCTGAATCTACCCTCTGCCAGCTTGTGACCGTTATTTCTAGTCACTCCTGGTAGTGCTCGGGGGAACAGGGACTTCCCCAGTGCCTGCTGGTCCCCCCTGGCTAGTTTGTAAACGGCCACCAGGTCCCCCCTCAGCCTTCTCTTGTGGATGCTGAACAGGTTCAGGTCCTGTAGCCTCTCCTCATACGGCCTGCCCTGCTGTCCCCGATCATGCGAGTGGCCTCCTCTGGACCCTCTCCATGTTGTCCAAATCCCTCTTGAAGTGCCGCGCCCAGAACTGGATGCAGTACTCCAGCTG